ACACACACACACACACACACACACACACACACACACACACACACACACACACACACACACACACACACACAACCACACACACACTCACACACACACACACACACACACACACACACACACACACACACTTAACTTCCTCTTTCTTCCTCTGTAGGGTGGGATCTACGTGCTGACCCTGTTAGATAAGTACGCAGCGGGGACCTCTATACTGTTTGCTGTTCTGATCGAGGCCATTGGAGTGTCATGGTTTTACGGTATGAAACTCTACGGTACTTTGTTACCCCACGATTTCGCCATTTAAATTATATATTTTTATTCCATGACAAAATGACATTAGCAGCACAGCTCACTTTCTGGTGACATTACAAAATGACAATAGAATAAGCAAGAAAAAACTGAAACGTGTTATCCACTAACCCATTGGCTCAGTGTCTTGCCATGATCTAAAAGACAAGGTGAAACTTGTAAGTTGAAAGGAAAATGTACTGTAATGTAATGTATGTTTTTAGGTTCTGCAAAGCAACAATTGTGAACCCTAAAAAAGCTGAAATGTTATCAGAAAATTATGTCTCAGAGTTTTAAATTCCACAATTTACTTAGTGTACCTTTTCCAGAAGATTAAACAAGTCCTCGATCAATCTTAGAGATATATATTTATTTATAATTACATTTGTACATATATAACTAATTAACATAAGACACAATAATGAAAAAAATCCCCTATGGCATAAAACAAAGCACAAGTCATGACATTGTATCTGTATCAGCCGGCAAACAGTATCTAACCTATCAGGCGTAGTCCATCTCGTTGCCATCTGTAGACACTTAGATATAGCAAGGTAAAATACACGAAGTAAATATGGAAAAATAATGTAAAATTGTGAAACCAGGGCAGAAAAATAAACCAGAAATGCTCGAACCAGGATAACAGTAGTACTGTATAGACATTGTGTGTTGTGTTGCCTCATTCTGTCCAGTGAGATTGCATACTTTGCACTAAGAGCCTGCTGCTCCTACATTGATTGAATGTACTCACCACATTAACCTTTGCTCTGTAACCTTTCATGTTCACTCCAGGTGTGGACCGCTTCAGTGAAGATATTGAGCGGATGATGGGCTTCAAGCCAGGTCTTTACTGGAGGCTGTGCTGGAAGTTTGTCAGCCCAGCTTTTCTGCTGGTGAGCGAATCAAAACAGTAGAGTTTTTTCATTTGGCTGTTTCATACTGGTTGATCCTAGACCAAAGACAAATTCAGATGAATCATGAATGACATATAAGACACAACAGCACTCCTGCATCCCGTACATATGGTAGTTTGTGATGCCCTAATTTACAAAAGGAGTCGAAATGTAAACCCTTATAAGAATCAATAGCATAATGTAATAGGTTGGGGGGGGGGAAGCTTGACCACAGGGTGCAACAATGGACAGTTTGAACCTCAGTGCTCCTCCTGGCGAGTCCTTCACTTGCAGGTGAAATAAACTCAACGTGCATTAGAGGAAGCACGTGTCCATGGGAGCGGGGGGTGGACAGTCACGTGCTTCCTTCAATACAGATGGCTGTCTACACCCTCCTCTGCACGACTGTGGAAGTGTGTAGTAACAAAGGATGCAATTCCGGAGAATTGGTCATTCCTCATTGTGTGAGAAAAAAAGGACAATAGTAACAAAAAAAATCCATTATTTACAGATATATTTAGTACTGCCCCATTGAACATGCTTTGTACTCGAAATGAGAACATTTACCTTTTTGAAATTGCCAACTTAATGGAGCACGACAATTACATGTGTCCTCTCTGTTAAGAGAACATTTTTACCGTAAACCATTGTACTTTAACATAAGAGACACACAACAAATTATGTTCCACTTCATCTCGCAGCATCAATGGATTTGCTGCAATCAAATTAAAGGCATAGTTTGGATTGCTTGAAGAGGGGTTGTATGAGGTACTACCCGTCCACAAAAACATATTGTAGCCACCTGAAAGAAGGGTCTATCAAATCAAATCTATGTGTACACTGTATTGTAATACAGTGGTAATACTTTCACCACTTTACATTGCAATGAGACTACCTATGTGCTCACTAAAGCCACCATACTCCATTGGAAAAAACGTTTTACTTCTTAAATTCAGTAGTTGCTGGTCTACCGCTGCCTTGATTGGTCCGTTTTTTTGTGCTATAATACGATTATTCGTGAATCCAATTCAATCAGATTGACACCATAACACAAACTGATTGACTGATAGAGGCATATATAGACAAGCAAGGTCATATATGTGTTTTTGTTATAGGAGTATGGTGGCTTTGAAGCAGATAAAGATAACAACTTCAGTTTCCAAGATGAAAGGGTTGTCTCATGGCACATTAAGGCATTCAAATTGATATTGATATCCACCATACTCACCGTGAGTACTTAAAAAAGGGTGTGTCGACCTCAATCTGCTGTAGGCTATACAGTGACAATGATTTGTACCTCAAAACAAGCCACTTGAAGCCTCACACGCTGTCCCTTTAATGAAGAGACATTGCACATTAGGACAATGATAGAAGATTAGATGTAACCTTCTCCGATGTATCTTTTCCTTTCTCCCCTTCTCTCTTCTCTCTTCACAGTTTGTTGTAATAGCCAGTGCAGTGACCTCGTCAGGCCTGAAGTATGACGACTACGTCTTCCCTTACTGGTCTAACGTAGTTGGCTGGGGCGTGGCCATGTCCTCCATGATGTTTGTCCCCTGTTATGCCATTTATAAATTCCTCAGCGTATCTGGAACATTCAAACAGGTGAGTATCCAAACATGTTCGTCACACAGGGTTAAACAAAAAGACTGAGATGACTGCCAGTGGAGGCACACAGGGGCGCCGCCAGGGATTTTGGGCCCCATGAAAAGATTTCACATTAACCCTCCTGTTGTCTTCGGGTCAAATCTGACCGATTTACTACTTTCATTGATCATAACTTTTTTGTTTTACATTCGATTGCACTAAGGCTTTGTGATATCCTTCACAGTAGACATTTGAACATATACAATTGCTGACCAACACTTTCACTGAATTTTGGATGATTTAGTCAACTTTGTAACACCCATGGTGTTCCCGGTCAAAGATGACCGCCATAAAGAAAAGGAATTAGTAACCATCCGGATCGGATCGATCGGACACACAGGCTACTCTAGATGTGTCCCCCCCTTATGTGCCCATCCCCCCACATGGATCACACACAGAACAATGTGACATTTCCCGCTCTTATGTGCCCATCCCCCGACAT